CCCCAAAACCCCAAAACCCCAAAACCCCGTGGTTATACAAAAAAATAGAAATTTTAATAAAATGGAGGATTTAAAGAGCAAGCAAAGAAGAGAATTCTTAAGTAAGCTTGGTATATTAAGTCTAGATACTGTGAAAGACCGCAAAGCTGATCGAGAGAAGTACATGACCTCTCTTAGGAAACAAGTCAAACAAGAGATCTTCAGGAAAAAGAGAGTCATGAATAAAGAGTTAAGGAATTTAGAGGAAGAAGCTCAGCAGAAATAAGATGTATCTTCTACCTGTAGTAATATTTTAGATTTGAAGAGACTTGTAAAGCAACGAACCCAAAAATACTAGATCCTACAACAACACCTGAAGAGGCTTTGGGGATGATCACAGAGACTTTGAAGGAGCCAGGAAAAGACGCGGTTATATACGAAGGCTTGATAAAAGTCTTAAATGAATTACTCATCGAACACTCAGCCACTATAATCCCAGAAGTTATTAGAGTCGGAACTATGGAGGCACTCAGCCCTTTTTATGAGTATGTCTTTGAGATTCCAGAAAACCACAGAAAGGAAAGTATAATTTTTCATTTTTGAGGCATAATCTCCAATGCTTTCACTACAGATGATGAATCTTACTTAGAGTATTTGATAAGCAATGATCTTAAAATTCTGGAATTCTTGAATAAGTGATTAAATGAATACAGCAATGATGATTGGATGTTGTGAGATATTCTTTTCCCTTTGAACAACATTTTAGGGTCTCCAAGCATTAGAGAGTATGTTCACCAGACTGATTATTTGGAAATCCTTAAGAAATATTGACTGAATGACCCATATAATTGCTCAGCAAATATTCTTCAAAAGTTATCTTGGGGATTAGCTAATTATTGTGACTGAAAATTTGAAGAAGATAGTAAAGAACTTCATTGGATAATCGAAGCTATTTCGTATTTACTTCCAATCAATGAGCAATACGTGAAAGCTCATGCCTGTCTAGCTATCTCCAGACTCTGTGATGAAAATGAAATTGGAGAGCTAGCAATTAAGTATAATCTCGGTTCTTTTGTTCTCGATATTGCTTTTAAATCAGAGTCATTTGAGACGAAAAGATGAGCTCTAAAAGCTTTGGGTGGAATATCATCTTCAGAAATCACATCTGTTTCCAACTACCTAATAACTCTGAATATCTTTGATATCTTGATGCAAATTCTCAAGGAGAACACTGGAGAAATCCGAACAAAGACATTGTGGGTGGTTGGAAACATATCAGGGGATAAGAATATCTGAAACCAAGAGATCTTCATCTCCATCATCGAACTTCTAGAGAAAGATAAAAGTATAGACACTATGAAAGAGATTATGTACGTACTGTCAAACACAATCCATCAAATTTCTCTCTCAAGACCTTTCGTGGAAACTGAAATTAAGGTATGACTTTGAGTAAATTCTGTAGAAATATAGCTCAAGAGATATTCCCTTCTCAGAGAATTATGACGATTATCTCTCAATGGGAGATAAGGAGATTATCGCTGCAAAGAATAATGAGAGGCTCACCTTCTTCATAGAGAATACTAATATTATACAAATCATGATAGGATATCTCCACACAAATCCTTCAGACGATGTGCTTAGCATTATGCTCGATGCTTTTGCCAATATTTTTAGGATAGCAGAATGAGTTAGAAATTCAGGCGAAAATGAAAATTTTGATAGAATTCTCAGAGAAAACTTTACATATATCGGAGGCTGCGAGTGCATTGAGGCTTTAATCACTAATCCAAACGCTGACATTGCCTCTAAAGCAACATCTATCCTTACTGAGTATCTTAGTGATGCCTTCTCGTCTGAAAATGGAGGATTTGATTCAATGTTTAAAGAAGAGATTAAGACTGACGATCTTACATTTTAAGTTACAATGAGTATTTTATATTTTGGGGTTTTGGGGTTTTGGGGTTTTGGGGTTTTGGGGTTTTGGGGTTTTGGGGTTTTGGGGTTTTGGGGTTTTGGGG